CCACCACTGGTTTTACGGTTCAGGAAGTGTCGGTGCTCACTATCAGAGGTGACGTTTTAGAAAAAAGCACCACCTCCAAGAAGAGGATTAAACCAGTCCTGATCTGCTCCTTTGTTCTGTTTTCTCATCTCATCCCTGAAACTAAACCAGGTTTAAACCCATCAGCTCCACAGCAGAAGAGCTGAACCAGGAGCTGATGTTTGAAGTGCTTCGGTTTGCAGACGTTTCCAGTAAATGTTGTCTGCGTGGGCTCAGCTTCCAGATTAGTTCCTGACTGTGTTCATGTGTTTGTGTTTGTGCGTCCTGACTTTCTATGTTTGTTTACATGTGCAGTACGTGCGTGTCTGTGTGGGTCCAACTGCCCACCTTCTTATCCAGTTTGCGCCCACTCAGGGTCAGAGTGATGATTCTGTTGTCAGACAGCTCCTGCGCCGTTATCTAAAGTAACAGAACAGAACAACACCGGGTCCAACTCCAACACAAACACCAACACTGGAACCAACAACAGCTACAGTTACTAAAGAAAACTTCATGAGCGTCACCGTCAGCTACAGAGTAAAAATACACCTGGAGTCAGCCTGCAGCAGGTTGTGGCATCTGACTCTAACTGGTTGTAGAAACGGTCAATAAACTGGTTCCAGGTAAACAGGAGGAACAAACCAACAATAAGAATTTAAACCTGAGTGAGCAGTCCTGGTCCTGGCTTTGTTCCTCTGCTTCCAGAAGGGGGTCTCTGCAGTCACTAAGTGGGAGGCTCTAGGTGTGTGGGCGGAATTTGTAAAAGACACAGTGAGTCTGTTTGACTTTTGTGGGAGGAGATTGTTAAATAAAATGATTGATTGGATTGACAATTTTGGGAGGGATTTGAAGAATGGTCCAACCTCCACCCACATCCAAGAACTTACGTCTAGATTCCAAACCCCGCCCACACATAATGACTCCACCTATATTCCAAACCCCGCCCACACATAATGACTCCACCTATATTCTAAACCCCGCACACACTTAATGACTGCGCCTATATTCCAAACCCCGCCCACACTTAATGACTCGGCCTATATTCCAAACCCCGCCCACACTTCATGACTCGGCCTATATTCCAAACTCCGCCCACACTAACTGACTCCACCTATATTCCAAACTCCGCCCACACTGAATGACTCGGCCTATATTCCAAACCCCGCCCACACTGAATGACTCGGCCTATATTCCAAACCCCACCCACACTTAATGACTCGGTCTATATTCCAAACCCCACCCACACTTAATGACTCGGCCTATATTCCAAACCCCGCCCACACTGAATGACTCCGCCTATATTCCAAACCCCACCCACACTTAATGACTCGGCCTATATTCCAAACCCCACCCACACTTAATGACTCGGCCTATATTCCAAACCCCACCCACACTTGACTCGGCCTATATTCCAAACCCCACCCACACTAACTGACTCCAACTATATTCCAAACCCCACCCACACTAATTGACTCCGACTTTATCCCAAACTTTGCCCACACTTAATGACTGCGCCTATATTCCAAACCCCGCCCACACTTAGTGTCTCCGCCTATATTCCAAACTCCACCCACGCTTAATGACTCCGCCTAGATTCCAAACTCCACCCACACTTAATGACTCCGCCTATATTCCAAACTCCACCCACACTTAATGACTCCGCCTACATTCCAAACCCACCCACACTAACTGACTCCACCTATATTCCAAACCCCACCCACACTAATTGACTGCGTCTATATTCCAAACCCCGCCCACACTTAGTGTCTCCGCCTATATTCCAAACTCCACCCACGCTTAATGACTCTGCCTATATTCCAAACTCCACCCACACTAACTGACTCCGCCTATATTCCAAACTCCACCCACACTAACTGACTCCGCCTATATTCCAAACTCCACCCACACTAACTGACTC